CCTCTGGGGCTGGTCTAATGCAGGCATGGGGGTCTGGCCCAGGAGATTCTGCAGTCTAAGGAGAAGAAAAGCAGGAGCCTGGTTGAGGTAAGGAGGAGATGGAATGTGTGGGCTGGCTGGGGAGGATGCAGGACACAGGGGACTCCGGCTGAGCTGCCCTGTGGGAAACTCAGCTGTGTGTTGGGATAAGAACAAAGCTCCCGAGGCTTGTGGAGAGCAGACGGCACTCTGGTGGCACTGCGGGATCCAGGGCCAGGCAGGAGGCAAGCAAACCACTTTCCCTGTTATTTTCAATATATGATGCTTATGAACCTGAAAGCATCCGCACCGAGCAGGCAAATGCCAGTGCTCTGCTTGCCACGGTGGCCGAGAGCACCTGGAGGAAAGTTGTCCAAGAAGCCATCGGCCAGGCGTGGGGAAGGTCCTCTCCCCCCCACGCAGCTCAGCACAAGCTGGCCAGCAGCGGTTTGGGGCCGTTGTGTGCACGGGGGGGTCTTTGGGGCAGTGAGGTCCCAGGTGATGCTGCCATGGGGTCTGCAGAGGGGACCGTCGATGTGGGGTTTGCTCTGGGATGGCTGGAGTTCACACAGCTTGAAGCTCTGCTAGAAAGATCCCCCAGGAAAGCTTGGTGCTGCTTTGTTTTGTAAGGGAGAATGGTAAAGTGAGTGAATAAGAATGAGGAGGAAAGAAAGAGGAATGATGAAGGGAGGAGAGAGAGAAGGATGGCCGGGAGCGTGGAGAGGCAAGTGGGAATTTGACTGCAAGAAATATAATGCAGGGCAAGTTAGCAAACTGCTGACTGAAAGCCCAGCCGCTGCTTCTCCAGCAAAGCAATCTGCTGGGAGTTTCCCGTAGTCATAATGCAAGAGAAAAGGGAACAGGTACTGAAACCAAAAAGAGCAAGGTCGAACAGCAGAAAAGAAATAATTCCGCATGCTCAGATCCAGCCGTGGAACTCCCTGCTGCAGGATGTTACTGAAACAGAGACCTCAGTGAATGCTGGAGGCTAAGAGGGTCCAAAGTCCTGGAGAACATGGATGTCAAGTCTTGTGAGGGTTAACACCAACCAAGAGGGATGCTTGGCTGCTGCCACTAGAGGGGAGACGTCCGGAAAGCAGATTATTTTGTGTCTGCTGTGGGCCCTGCTCCTTCCCCTGGGTACACGAAGGATGTTTTCCCGCGGGGGACCCTGGATGCTGGTGGGACCTCGGGAGGCCCTGGGACAGAGACGGGCCCTGCTCTGGGAATCCCCTCCTGCCCCTACATCTGCTGACGGGGCGTCTTTGCGAGTTCAAGGGGCTGCTGGCACCCCCAGGCAGGCTACAGCAGCAAAATATATTGAAAAATATAAGAGGAGAACTGAAAGGCTCTCCGAATAAAGGAAGAGCAGCAGTGTGACTAGCTGCCATGTGACTGTGCCCATAGAAAACGGAGCTGCTTCAGAGCCAGGCTCTGGCGCAAGTCACAAGGTCTGCAAGAGATGCCCCAGTATAAAAATACTCTATGGAACAATTTAGTCTTTGCAAAGCAGGCAGGGATGGGGGGGGGAAGACGACAGCGGTTCGCAGGGCAAGGCTAGAGAGAGCTCCAGCGAGAAATGCTGGGAGGCAGGCAGTGCAGCGAGCAGTGGGAAGGAGAGGACACGCGTGGGATGGATGAGGGTTGCGGGTACACGTGGGTGAGGCTGTGCTGAAACCCCAGCACTGAAGCTCTGCATCATGCCTCTGCTGTTATACCCACATCTCGGCGTGCGTGTGCTGCTCCCTGCATGTGGTAACACCGAGCCTCCTCAGCCCAGGCGCAAATGTGGGTTTAAGTGGGCAAGCGCTGCAGCACGCTAGTGGGTATCCACTGCTGAGAATTCCAGAGCTTGCCTGGACATGGCCATGTCCTCACCTGATGGAGCGGCCAGCCCTGCTTTGAGGCAGGAAAGTTGCTTTTCCAAAGTCCTTGTTTTCTCTTTGTTTTATTATTATTATTTTAAGTATAACCCAGTTGCTGTGGCCTGCATTTCCATAACTGGTGGTTTTTCACGCTTCAGGTTTTGGTTCCCTTAAAACATCTTCAAAAACTCTACAGTGAGCGCTTGGCACTTTCAGACCCTGGCTCCATCAGTGTTTGCAGCTGGGCGAGGATGAGCTTTAGGGTCTGTGGCCATCTGTGTGCGTGGGGAGATGGGCAGTGCAAGGAATAATGCACCAGCTGCATTGAGGGATGATCCTTCCCTTAAAAGGCACATGAGGGGCAATGCCAAAATCCTGCTCTGTCACGCATAGCAAAATGGGCTTCCAGGCTAGAGTCACCCTGGGTGTATCGGCTTGCAATTATACACGGTCCCGTCGGGGCTTTCTGGGAGCATTGGCAGGAGGAGAAGCGGAGGGAGGTCATCACTTCTTTTCTCCTGATGTAATTAATAAATGATGCATTTTGGGCTGCAGCTTCTGGCTGGGCGTGGGGCCGGACTGTCCCCCAATGGGGAAACTGTGGAGGGATGACAGCGGGGAGGGAAGCTGCTCCTCCGACACGTGGTCACAGTCAGCTGGCAACAGTGAGGAGAGCAGCCGCGACTGTGGAGCGGAGCTGTGCATTTATTTAATGGTGCTGAATGCTGTGCTTTGAACGAGGATCGATGGGGCGAACAGCCCTGTCAGGGTCCAACAGGAAATTTCGGGAAAAAAAAACAATCTCTTGTGCAAAATGCTGGGAAAGCATCACTTGCACAGCGTCTCTGAGAGCAAGGCTCCCCGTGCACCCTCGGCAGTGCCGGCAGGGCCAGGATCGGTTTCACCCGCGCTGGGAGAAAGTGCTTTGGGGCCAGATGCAGGCCCAGAGAGAAAGCAGGGACTTTCTGAGGGTGAAGCCGCAGGGAGCCCACGCTGTCCTGGGTGGCACAAGGGGGAAAGCGAGTGTTTCGTGCTCTCCCAATCCACCCTGAACTTTCCCAAGCGATGCTCCTGCAGGAACTATGACCTGAACCGGGCGACTCATCTCCATTCAGTGCCACACTCCAGCACATGCTTAAAAGCCTGGTGAAAGCAGGACCCCCCCCCGTGGGCCCACGCCTGCCGTGCTCCAGCACGTTCTATCTGCGATGGGCTAAAGGCTGCTCTCTGCTGTGACAGACTGTGGTTTCATCTGCTCCTCGGGCGGTGACACGGGCCCGGAGCAGAGTCACACAGAAATGAACACACATGGTTTCAGTAACAGCGTTTGGGCAATCTTCTGCAACATGGAAGGGGAAAAAAAAACCTTTGTTCTAAAAATGACCTAGGCCATAGGAAATGCTGGGGGTTGAGGCAATGTGTTTACTTAACAACATTTTGTACAGCAAGTGCTGAACAGCGTGCAGTTGCTCTGGGAAAAAAAAAATAAATCTTCAAATGAATAGCACTGGATCCTCAAAACTAGAGTCTCGCCTTAAAAAGAAAAAAAGGAAAGCCCCCCCCTCAATACACCAGCAGTGAGGGGCACAGAGCTGGAGGTTGGGGTCATTTGCATTGCCTGGAAATGAGCGAAGCTGGTGACAGTTTCTAGATGAGGACTCGGCAGAGCCGATCCCTGAGGGGGGTGGGAGCCCCACTCACCTTCTGTGGCTACATCGGCCCGAGCCAGGGACCCTTCGGGTGCGGGTGATGGGCTCAGCTAATTGACTGACAAACGACTGATTGATGCAACCATGAGGTTTTCTGGGTGATCGGGCAGCGCCTGCAAGCCCTGTACATGCCTGATTGCCCTCGGCTTTAAAATGAGGCGCAGCTTCCCCACGGCACCATGCAGGAGGTTCGTGAGAACGGCAAGGACCCTGAGACGGTATCACAAAAGGGAATAGTGACTCGCACGGCTTTCAACAGCCTGCCCACTCAAAACATCAATTGTTAACTCCAGGCTTTGCTTTTGCAGCTTTCTCAGGTGCGGAGGAACCGCAGGGCTGTAGGAGCCCAGGCGCTGTAGCACACCAGTAACTGTTCACAGATTTCACTGCTGCCTCACTGGAGACCTCACCTGCTGCGAGGGTGTCTGCCGTGTTTTGGGGAGCGGTGCGCCATGGTTTGGGCACCCAACGTGACCGCTGTGTTACACGGGCAGGATTTACCCCTCTCACCCTGCGAGGGTGACGTGTCAACCCCATCGGGTGCTTGGTCTCTCCAAGTTAGTGCCGTAGGGTTTTTGCAAGGTCCGGACTGGGGCTCATCCTCTCCGGCCTCGCTCCCTGCCTGCAGCGCCGGCTCTGAACTCCGCAAGTCTGTGTCTGTGCACAAGCAGAGATCCGGGTGCATCCTCAGGCTGGTGTGAAAACGTGCAGGCACTCAAACCGTCACTCGGGGGGAAACTCCCAAGTGCGGCTGGGTTTGATAGGACCTGGATCTGAACTACTAACAAAAATGGTCGTGATGAGCCCGACGCAGAAGCTGGGGCAATTCACCCCAGCTGCACGCCGCTCTCACCTGCTTGCTTGTATTTGCTCCGATGCTGCCGTCTTTGACGTTACACCCCACAATAAGGCCACGGGAGCGGGGAAAGGGTTTGGAAAGCGGTAAGGATGCCCCACGTAGTTTGGAAGCCCTGGGACTTTGCGTCGATGTGAGGACTAACGGTAGAGCGGGACCACCGAAGCCTGCCTACCCTGAAAAACTTCTCTTGCGTGAGAATCCACTTGCTATTTTGAGCATCTCGGCTAGTGGCACAGATGCTGTTCGTCGGGCTCTGGCCCCGGGGCAGGGTCTCGGTCGGGGTCGCTGCTCTCGGGGGGGGGGGATGCAGCCGTCCCCGGGGGAAGGGGGACAACCCGCAGAACGGGCCCGATCCCCGCTTTGCCGAAGTATCCCGGTCCCAGAGCAGGAGCTGTCTGGAGGACGTTGATTTACCGAGCGATTTTCTTGTCGGGTTTGGGGGGGGGGGGCGGAATTTGCCAGGAAGGACCCG